AGTCGGGCGGCCGCTGGCGGGAGCCGCGGTTGCCCGGGCCAAGATTGGGGGGGCAAGGCGGGCGACGGAAGGCCGATGCCTCCGTTGCCCGTCCCTCTACAGAATCCACCCCCAAAACCTCCAGGTATTTCCCTCCTTAGAGCTGGCAACCCTACATTCCCCTCAGTGCCTGTTGGTAGGCATCTAAGCTTGGTCCTGTCACCTACTTTGGCCTTTGGGAGAAAACACATTGGGGCCAGTCCTGATAGGGTTGCCAACTCCAGATGGGAAATTCCTGGAGACTTGAGGGATGGAGCCTGAAGAGGGTGAGGTTTGAGGAGGGGTGGGACCTCAGACAGGTACACTGCCATAGACTCCACCCTCCAAACCAGTCAGTCCCACATAGGGAACCATTGTTGCCAATCTCCAGGTGAGGGCTGGAGAGCACTCAGTATTACAACTGTTCTGCAAAAGGGAGGGCAGAAGTCAGCTGAAGTCAAAGGGGCAGATAATGGTAGGTTGATGGCTAGCTGGGAAGGAGATGGGGTTGCCAACTACATCCTGACAAATTCCTGGGGATTTGAGGGGTGGAGCCTGGAGAGGGTGGGGTTTGCAGAGGGGTGGGACCTCAGACAGGTAGAATGCCATAGACTCCACCCTCCAAACCAGCCATTTTGTCCTGGGTAACAATTGCTGCCAATCTCCAGGTGAGGGCTACAGATCACTCACAATTACAACTGCTCTTCAGGTAGCAGAGATCAGTTCCTCTGGAGAAAACAGTGAGATGTGTGTGTGTGTGTATCTATAGATATATAGCTGTGGATATGTGGGTGCATATGTATGTAGGACTGTAGGACCACAATACATTACGCAACATTTTGTTGCGGGTCTCCTCTTGTTATATATAAGGAGAGATTCTCAACATGGCCACATTTGTGGATACTTAAATCTGGAGACTGGGGTCATGAACAGACAACACAGATCTTTTTTACAAACCTAAAAATGCCCCAGGTTTGCTGAAAAATATGAAATCTTTTAAAAAATGCCCGCAAATAAAAGAAGCAGCACCTGCGGATTTAAGATATGGATGCCTCATCTTGTCAATATATGAAATAATATATATAGCTGGAGATGGGGAGCAGATAAAAAGGTAGGTTGGTTGGTGGGTGGGGAGGAGAGGAAGAAGCAGGGAAAGGAGAATGGGGGGGGCAAAGGAAGGAAAGATGAAATAGCATGCAGAGGGAATAAAGGGGGAAATTAAGCCCCCCTTGCAAGTCCTTGCAGGCCCCCTTCTGGGCAACTAGACATGTTGGTGGCCACTGTTCAATTTGGTCATAGTTTTCCTGCCCCCAGAGTGTAGTGGGAGACCTGGCCTCCCTAAGTGGTTTGGTAGCGTCTGGAACTACATATTCCTGCAACCATGACCACTATTTCCCCTCTGAAAAGCAAACTTGAGACATAAGAAGAAGCATGGAGAAAGGGTACTTGACTCTTCCCCCACCTGCCAGTTTTCCTCTACAATTCCACACCTAGTGTTTGATCCTACCAGCTTTTCTACTGACAAAGGAGGAACCAGGGGCTTTTTTGAACCAATAAAAAGGTTACGCCAGGGATTATGAAATGCACAGGAGTAAAAGCCACATGGGATGGGGATTGCAGTGAGGAGTAGAATCAGGTGAGATCCAGTGGAAAACTGAAAGGATCCAACCCCAGCCCCTTTTGCCAACTAAAGTGTTAGACTTGCTCTTCCCTTACAAACATTCCAATGGATCTGGAATCTGAGTGGTATTCTGGGGGGGGGGGGTTTATGAAAATAGGAAAAGAGTGGGAAAGGTTTACTCTCCCTGCAAACCATTTGTCTTCTGAAAAATGCCTTTTTTTTGGGGGGGGGGGAAACTAAAATGGCTCTTCACAAAAAAGAACCCATGCCAAGGGTTTCAGGAGCAATTAGAATGTGTGTTTCTGGCCTAACTTAGCTGCTGGCAGAGAAATTAGGATAGTAGGTGAAAGAGATAAACCTTACCTTCTCGTCTTTGAAGCATCAGCTTAAGTTTATTTCCTCTTGTAACACCTAAATGAATCAAGCAAATACATTAGATTTTTAAAAGATTGAAAACGTTTAAGTAGCTACTGCTTCCTTAATAAGGAACGTGACTGTATATGCAAGGGGAACCTGTAGGGAACACCGGATGCCTGGAGGCAAGTTAAGGTTCCTTTCTCCGCCTCTTGGAGGGGGGAATACCCCCCCCCCCCCAGCCTGTGCACACACACCTCTTACATACAAAACAAGCATTAGTAAAATCCTTCCACTTCTCTTTAATCTGACACATACACCCTAACTTGCAGATGTTGGCTGTTTGAATTTGCTCTGTTGTTCAATTTGCTCTGTTGTTCAGTTGTTTCTCACTGAATGTTTATTGCATTTTTGATGCATTTTTAAATACTCTGCCAAGCTGCTTTGAACTCCAGAAGAGCAGCCTGTCAATATTTAGATAGCTAGATAAACTGTTGGCTTTGCTGTTCTGCTGCTTCCTTTGCCCACCATCATTTCCAGCATGCCGTGGGTCAAAAGCAGAATGACACCGGCTTTAACAGAGTTGTGTGAAGGGAGGCTGATGAATGGAATTCAGGGCCAGGGGCTGCATCTTCACAGGTAGCTTTACAGCTTTTAACAGTAAACGTGTGAGTTGACCACTAAGTACCGGATATATGTTAGTTATGAACTAGAATATGTATTCGTCTCTCTCTCTCTCCCTCTGTATGTACCAAAATGCAGATTTAGAATGGCTTTGTTTTCAGACAGCTTTCTGCATCTAAAGATGCCAGGCAAAAACTTCACTGAATTATGTTTTTTTTCACTGGTAACATCTTGAGCTGGGGGCTGCGGTGGCTCAAGTGGTTAAGACGCTGAACTGCAGGCTGTGGACGGTCAGTAGTTCAGCAGTTCGAGACCCGAGTGCCGCAAGATGGAGTGAGCTCCCATCTCTGGTCCCAGCTCCTGCCAACCTAGCAGTTCGAAAGCAAGAAATTGCAAGTAGATAAATAGGTACCACTTCGGTGGGAAGGTAACAGCGTTCCGTGCGCCTTGGTGTCTAGTCATGCCAGCCACATGACCATGGAAATGTCTCTGGGACAGTGCTGGCTCTTTGGCTTGGAAATGGAGATGAGCACCGCATTCCTAGAGTCGCATTCGACTGGCTTTCCAACAAGGGAAACCTTTACCTTTACTAACATCTTGAGCTGGGCAGAGGTTCAGTTGTGCATTGCTACATATTATGCTATTAAAGACATAGGTACCCTGGCTATTATGCTATTAAAGACACAATACACCCTTCTTCCTTGCCTTCCAGCTTCAAAAATATTACAGTATACACATATATGTGCCTGGAGCCATTTATATTAACTTATCACTAATTTCACACAAGAAGCATGGGAGGTGAGACAGACAACATGGATGGGCCAAGATCTCTTAACTGCAAATAAAAGACTAAATAAACAAGCATTTGCTAGAGAAATTGTGGGGAGGGGTGATAGCAGGCTGTTCCTTCTCCCCCCTCTCCAGGAGTGTCCAGTGCCTTGACAATTGTATGACAGGCAGATATTCCACCAGTGCAGCCTTTCCCACCACTGCAAGTCCACACTGGGGAATGTCCTGAATTTTGATCTGATGGTGAAACCATTGAAGGCATTGCCAGAAAAAGGTTGGGAGAGGGATTTGATTGACAGTGTTTGAAATGGCATTAACAAGGGTGAGAAGCAGAGATTGGTCAAGTCTTTCTTTTTTCCTGGCAAGCTTGTCTTGTGCCTGAGTGGCAAGCAAAAATCCAGCAGGTAAAGCTCTTATTCCCTATCACTGCATCTCCATGGTGGGGGAAAGTGTTGCCACTGGACAAATTCCTTTGAAAAGCACAGAAGTCTTTCTCCAAAATTTGCTTTCATCCAGTGCATTTCATCCAGTGCCTATAGGATCCAGGTGGACAGCCCTGTTAGTATGTACTCTAGCAACAGAACAAAGTTTGAGTCCAGTGGCACCTTTAAGACCAACAAAGCGTTATTCATGTTATGAGCTTTCCGAAAGGACAGATTCTCACCATTAAGGCTACATCAATCTCCAATTCTGACATATTTATTTCCTTGCTAGGTTTTCCCCCAGGAGTTAAACCCAAACAGATGATAGCCTTATAAATAAGCTTGTTATTCTGTATGCTAATTTACTGCTCATCCTCTAGCTATATGGACTGGCCATTTCTATTTCATTGTGTCTGAAAAAGTGCACTTGCAGACGGAACTTCCTACCTTGGCTGCAGTCACACACGCTAAATAATCCACTTTCAGTGCACTTTCCAACTGTATTTTTACCGTGTGAACTGGCAAAATCCAGTTGGAAAGTGCATTAAAAGTGTGCGTGACCGCAACCCTTGAATAAACCTGTGTCAGTCTTAAAGGTGCCACTGGACTCGAACTTTGTCCTGTAGGATCCAAACCACCCACGGGTCCGCCCCTTCTCCGCCTAAGTGCACCTTGAAGGAATCCTGGCGGGGTCAAGGGCGGGCAGATTGTCGGGGGGGGGGCGGCACACAAGCCCCCCTCTCCCTCCTCCTCCTTGCAGGCAGCCGCTCTGCTCTCCCCACGCGCGGGGCTCCCTCCCCCCCTTCCCCCAACTCACCGGGGCTGGAGGCGACCACCAGGACAAGGAGCAGGGCTGCCAAGGAGAGGGCCCCCCGGCCGGACACGCAGAAGAGCGGCGGCATCTCGGCGAGGGCGTCGCTGGCGAGTGGCGAGCGCAGGACCTGGGAGAGGGCGAAAGGGAGGAGAAGGAGGGGGCTGCAGCCGGAGAGAGAGGGCGGGAGCGCGGTCTGGACGCCGCGCAGCGGGCCCGCCAGTTTCCCGCCCTGCCTGGCGGCCGCCGCCGCCGCAGTGTTGCTGGTGTACGCCGGCCAGGCCGAACGTGCTTTGCTCCGGCAACTGCGAGCAGGTAGGGCTCCTCTCCCCAGAGAGGGAGGCGCGTTAGTTGGTTGCAGCAAACAAATAAAGAGGCGCTTGTGGCCGTCGGGAGGGAGGGTCCCCTAGCAGCATCGGAAGAAGTGGGCGCTAATCCAGGAAGGTCTGTGCTGGAGTGAAGTTTTGGGAGTCTTTAAAGTGTCCTGTTTACACCGCCGCCCCCCTCCCCGGATTTGCAGAATGGCTTCCAGGTGGATGCTCAGTGGAAACGATCCTCTCCCAGGCAAGACTTGCCCTGGGAGCTACTCCTCACTGGGGGACTTCATGTAACCAAGTGAACTGCCAGGCATGCTTGACCAGTCCGGTGGATGGCACAAAATTGTAGCACATGAAACTTGTTCTTATAATAAAGGGCTCCCCAACCATATCCAGCTTTTTCTTTTTCTGGAAACTAGGTAGTGGGCCACCGCTTAGGATTGCCAGTTTCTAACATAAGAAGAGCCCTGCTGGAGTAGACCAGTGAAGGTCCATCTAGTCCAGCATCCTGTCTCACAGAGTGGCCAACAACAGAGTGGCCAGCAACAGGGCAGAGAGGCCGAGGCCTTCACCTGATGTTGCCTCCTGACTCTGGGATTCAGCAGGTTAGTGCCTCTGAGTGTGGAGGTTCCCCTCCCTCACGGTGGCTAATAGCCATTGATAGACTTATCCTCCGTGAAGCTATCTAATCCCTTTTCAAAGCTGTTTATTCCTGTGGCCATCACTACATCTGCTGGCAGCGAATTCCATGTTTTAATCACTGTCTCTGTAAAGAAGTATTTCCTTTTCTCTGTCCTGAATCTACTGTGCTCACGGTGGCTAATAGCCATTGATAGACTTATCCTCCGTGAATCTATCTAATCCCTTTTCAAAGCTGTTTATTCCTATGGCCATCACTACATCTGCTGGCAGCGAATTCCATGTTTTAATCACTGTCTCTGTAAAGAAGTATTTCCTTTTCTCTGTCCTGAATCTACTGTGCATCAGATTAGTTGGATGACCTCGAGTTCTAGTCTTTTAGAAGAGGGAGAAAAATTTCTCTTTGATAACTCTGTTCACCTCGTATGTCTGCTTTGATACCAATCACAAAATGCTGGAAAGTTCCAAAAACGCTGAGAGGTTTCAAGCCAGAAGTGACATCATGTTGTTGGCACAACTCTGATTTTCCCATCCATTTTCTTCCTGACACTCCCCTCAGCACCAGTGGGCAGAAGAAGAGTTGATTTTTATACCCCGCTTTTTGCTACCTTATTGAGTCTCAAAGCAGTTTACAGTCTCCTTCCTTTCTTCTCCCCACAAGAGCCCCCTTGTGAGGTGGGTGGAGCTGAGAGAGTTCTGAGAGAACGGTGACTGGCCCAAGGTCACCCAGCAAGCTTCATATGGAGGAGTTCTCCAGATTAAAAGCCCACCACTCTTAACCGCTGTACCACACTGCTCTCTGACTTACTGCCCACCACATGGGGCAGAGAGCAGGAGGACACCTGGTATACCTAGATAGCTTAATAAAAGAGTGGATGGAGTTGTCGTTCCAGAAAGGGAAATTCTTGTGTGCCTGGAGTGAAATTTGATGAAGAAAACCTACAAATGCAGACTTGGGTCAGATACGCAGGAGCTCTGCAGTCCTTCGGGAACAGAGAGTGCAGTTATGGACTCCTGCTGTCAGTAAACAAACCGTAAATGGTGGTCTGGGCTCACCCTCATGTTGGATAATCATATCCAGCAGAGATATGAGGCAGAATGAACTCTTCCATTAGAGAAATTTGTTTTACTGGAAATAGTCTTAAAGAATCAGTGGTCTTACCAAGGATTATTTCTTTTCACCAACATTTGGGCAAGCTGTTTTCTCACCATCTCACATTCTGACCTAAAACCAACTTTACCAGACCACATACTAACATCCTAAGCATTACCAGCATGATGGATGATGCCTTGAGCCAGACAGGAGAAAAAGAAGTAAGCAACTCTCTAGGAAATTACAGTAATAATTTGTACTACGTTTATTAACACTCCAAGCAAGTTGGAGACTCATAAGAAAGCAGACACTAACACATTCTGTTCTCCTTAGGAACTCTTCCAAAAATTAAACAGAAATCCAGCCCATTCAGCATGCCAAGCTGTGTCTTCTAAAAGCCTGGTTTTTAAAAAGTCAATATATATTCACCTGTCAAAATTAGTTGTAAGAGCTTTCTCAAAGCCGCTAATTATCTGTTCCACAAGAGACTTCTTTAGTTATTCAATGCTGCAGTAAATAGCCACTTCATAACACTCTCACAGTACTACGCACACAGTTTTATCTTCAGCATTGTATGGTTTCAAGAGCCATAGTTCAGTTTTTAAAGCATATTTTTTTGTATCCAGGAAACACCAGCATCAATCCCGATCCTTTTCAATTTACAAAAGCGCATGTGGGTAGAGCTCGAAAATACCTTTTATAAGAGACTTTAGAGAATAGCCAGCTGAGTAGACCAGTTATCCCCAAAGGAGTGTAGCAACCAGTGTATTTTCTGACACCCACTTTCTTCTTCCCCAAAGCAAAACTCCAATCCTGGTTTTCACCTGCCTCCTTGGTGCAGGAGATGCTATAGAAGAGGCCACAAGGAATCACTTTTATGTCTGCACAGAGCACCCATTCAGAAACTGCTGCCTCCGTCATAGGAGGGTTTTTGGGTTAGAACCTCCAAACATTTTGTGACTGGCCCTGCCCATATGGCAGCCATTTTGTGGTGACACCTAGTACCTGTTCTCAAAATTCCATGAGTGCCATCAGCACAGCAAGGTTGGGGATCCCTGGTATAGACAATACTGAAATAGATCAGTGATCTCGCCCTCATTCAGGATTTATTTTTTGCAATAAATTGTGCTTGTTTGTGTGTAAAAGAAAGACCGTGAATTAATTCCTTCTGAGCATGCTGGATTTTTATTATGAAGCAGTTTCATGTCTTTGGTGGACTGAATGCTTTAGTAGACTGTTAGCTGTTAGGGATAAGGGAACAATGTTTCTTGCCCTCCTGATAAAGAGAGAGAGATTTCATTGGCAATAAATAAACGCAGCAACTGCTCTAACACTAGCAACTTAAGGTATAATCATGTGACTTATCCTCAGTTACTTAGGACATGGCCCTTATCACTAGCCCTGTAGCCAGAAAATTTTGGCTGGTGGGGCAGGAGCCGGGGTGTGGGGGCAGAGGAATGGGGAACTTAATTAGATTACCCAACAGTGTGTGGGGTGGGGGAAGTGAAGGAGAGAGAGAGAGAGAAGGCATGACTTCTCTTTCTGTATGCCAATAAAGGTTATTGGAACTGGAATTTGACTTCTCTCCCTCCTTTCCCTGCTGCTGCGGGAGCAAGGTGTACCGGGAGTGGGGGGTCTGGCATCCTCCCGGGGTGGGGCAGGGCTCATCAATGGTGGGGCTCTGCCCCCAAATGCCCCAGTGTGACAACTGCTTATCACCCCCACATAGATTGAGTTGAGGAACCATGGCAAAACTCACATGGAGGGTTGATTGAATCCCTATCAGGCCAGGGCTCGGCAACTACATAATGGCTGGCTACTAAGCTGGTTGCTGAAATCAGAAGGCTATCATGCGGTCAGCCCATCCAGCCCCTGCAGTTTCTGAGTTGGCCATCAGGGATTTGCCTGTCTTTTTCTGTACAGTCTCTAGCTAGATCCATCTGAGAACCTGTTTCACAGGAGCGTCTATTGCACTGTTGAGGCATAAGAGGAGGAATCATACATGTCCTATTTTTTTAAAAAAATTAATATTTCAAAAGACATGAACAATAAAGCTTGAGTCAGTCGTACAAATCACTACGGTCAAGTAAAGAATGAAAGCAGTATAACATGGGGACATGGAATGACACCCACCCATGACCCACTTAAACAATCAACTCCCCTTGTTCCACCTTTTCCAAAAATAAGGACGATCTACCCAAGGAACTATACAATTCCCTCTCACTCCGAGAAGCGTCGAAATAAACAGTACATTTTTCCAACATGAAATAGTCCCAGACAACGGAAAGCCAGGAGGCAGCCGTGGGCGGGTTAGTGCTCTTCCAAAATCGGGCTATAGATGATTCGGCAGCTGTGAGCAGAACGTTAATTAACTCTCTTTTCATTACAGGAGGTTCATCTAATGACCAGTGGCCAAGAAGGAGCAACGCCGGGTCTAAAGCTAAGTCCACTCCTGTTATCGTATAAATGAGGCATACTATTCTGTACAGTTGGATGTGCCAATAGCTGTACATGTATAGTGCCTGGTTTATTTCTGGCTACTCAGAATCTATATACCATGTCCTACAAGTACTGTGGGGGCAGGATCATACCTTTAGTTTTAAATTAAATTAAATATTTAGATTCCTTAAGTTATTTTCATGTAATGTTTATACACTTTAATAACTGCTGATCAAGCTGTTGCACAACTCCGTGGCTCTCACTATATTGCTGCAGTTAGCTCAGTCTTTCCATCTTGACCTGGTAAATTTTAAGAGACAGGATAGGGCTATAAGTAGCATTGTCAGTCTCCAGGTAGGGCCTGGAGATCTCCCGCTATTACCGCTGACCTCCAGACGACAGAGATCAGTTCCCCGGGAGAAAATGGCTGCTTTGGAGGGTGGACTGTGTGGCATTGGACCCTGGTAAGATCCCTCCGCACCACAAACCTCACTCTCCCCAAACTCCACCCCCAAAATCCCCAGGTATTTTCCAACCCAGAGCTGGTAGCCCTAGCTATGAGGCACCCCTTTATCAGGTCCTTCCTGTCACTGCAGTCCTGCTCCAACAACCTCCTCCCTGAGGTTTGACTAGGAATCTGTA